AAATTGGATGAAAAAAAATGCACATTTAAATAAAGGCCTTACTGTGTTTTTAATATTTGCAGTATTTGTTAAAAGCCAAAATGCATTGTTAAAATATGCCTTTATTTGAATTTAATGATTTGTTTTTTATTACAATTTTAGTACATGCTTTTTGAAATAACAAAATTTAGGGATGCCTGGGTGGCTCAGTCACTTAAGCCTTTGACTCTTGATTTCGGCTCATGTCATGATCTCAGGGTTGTGAGATCTAGCCCCAGTTTGGCTCAGTGCTGGGCATGGAGCCTGCTTAAGATTCTCTCACTCCCCCCTGCCCCAGCTAGCACACGCATGTTGACTCTCTTAAAAAAAAAAATTCATGAAGAATGAAGAATTAAAAAATGAGTCTGCTTTGATCCTATTCCCTAATCCCTGTCTCTTCTCAGAAAGAATGTCTCTTTTTTGTGTATCTCTTTCCAGACCTTTTTCTACATATCTTCATATATACAGGTCTTTAAAAACAAATGGCATATGTTAGATACATATTGTTTTATATACAATGTTCTATGAATTTTTTCACCACTTCTCATTGTGTGTTACTACATAAAGATTTACTTATTTGTTTTTAATACTCTTTTGGTTGGATGTGCTATAATTTATTTAACTGTTTCCCTATTGATGAATATTTAGATTAGTCTTTCCAATATTTTGTTAAGAGTTTTTTCATTCAACAAATGTTTGTTGACTGTCAGGCAGTGCTAGTGAACAAAACACAAAAATTTCTGCTTTAATGTGGCTACATTCTTTTGGAGGTGGCCAGACAGTAAATGAATAAAATAAATATGTCATGCTACTGAGCACTGTGAGGTGCTCCATAGGAGTGCTGGAAGTCGGTGGGGGTGGTGGGTGCATTTTAACAAAGGGTGATCAGGAAAGGATTGCCTATAGGTGACGTTTGAGTAGAGATCTGGTGAAGGTGAAGAAATGAACTCTGAAGCTCTTGGTGCAGGAGAAGCATTCTAGGAAGGGAAGAACAAAGGTCCTGAGGTAGGGGCATGCCCAATGTGAAGGGGAAGAGCAATGAGGCCATTATGGCTGGAGAGTCAAGGACCATTCTGTAATTTTAGGTCTGAACAGTTGGAAAGGTAGAGTTGGAAAGACTATAGCAGGCAAGATTTTGGTTTGGGCACATTACATTTGAGAATCTATTAACATCCAACCAGAGAGGTATTGAGTAAGCAGTTGGAAATGTGATTTGGAGTTCATGGGGAGGTCAGAGTTGGAGATGAAGACCTGGGAGTCATCAGTATATTAATGTAATTTAAAGTCCTGAGTTCACTTAGGGAGTAAATTGGAGGGGAAAAAAGAATCAAGGACAGCCTGTGGGCATATCAAGGGTAAGAGGCTGAGGATATGAAAAGGATGCAGCAAAGGAGACCAAGAAAACAGCCATGAGGTAGGAGGGAAACCAAGAAAATGTGATGCCCTGGAAACTAAAGGAAGGGAGTGAACAATGTCAAGTGATGAGAACTGAGAATTGACCATAGAATTTAACAGTGTGACTGTGTGGGTGACCTTGACAAGAGCAATTTTGAGTGAGAAGGAGGGGACCTGGTTATAGGAGATTCAAGAAAGAATGGAAGGAGAGGAATTGGGACTGTTCGTATAAGCACATCTTTCAAGGGTTGGAAAATGGTTTTTTTTTCTGGAGGGGATATGAAGTCAAGATGTTTCTTTTGTTGTCAAAGATGGAGAAATAAAATGTGGTAAACTTATGGTTAATGATAGAGCAGAAGGAAAAACTGATGCAAGAGAAAGTGGGAGAGATTGAGAGAAGAGTTCAAGGTGTCCATTTTAATAAATTTGTATGTATGTATGTATACAAGGATTTCTGTAAGCTAGATTCTTAAGACTTCCTGAGTCAAAGGGTATGTACATTTAAAAAATCTATGCCAATTTATATTCCACCTTTATTGTATACCCTTGCCAACATTGAACTTTGCTAATCTTTAAAATTATTGCCATTCTGATGGGAGATATCTATATTATTTTAATTTGTAGGAATTCTTTATATAATCTAATTCTTTAATATATTTTCGTAAATATTTTTCCCAGGCTGTTTCTTGCCTTTTAACTTTGCTTATGGCATACTTTTACCATGTAGATTTTTTTTTTCTTTCAGTTTTTATGTAGTTAAGTCTGTCACTCATTGCCTTTTATAGCATTTGGGTTTCATATGGATTATATAAATATTTTAATCTTTTTTTTTTTTTTAAGATTTTTTATTTATTTTTATTTGAGAGAGAGAGAATGAGAGAGAGGGAGTACATGAGAGGGGGGAGGGTCAGAGGGAGAAGCAGACTCCCCGCTGAGCAGGGAGCCCGATGTGGGACTCGATCCAGGGACTCCAGGATCATGACCTGAGCTGAAGGCAGTCGCTTAACCGACTGAGCCACCCAGGTGCCCCAATATTTAATCTTTTAATATGCTTATACATTTACCTTTTTAATTCATCTGGAGTTTATTTTTGTGTATGTTATGACATAGGTATCTCAGTTTTTCATCTTTTTCTGTGTTCATAAACAGTTAAATACTATAAGAATTAATTGTTTCTTAAAGATTTGAAAGAAATTACCTGTATCTTCTAGACTTGGAACCTTTTTGGAGGGTAGACCTTTGACCTTAAAATTTTTTTCTGTGGTTAATCTATTTGTTTTACATACTTCTTCTAGGTTAATTTTGGTAATTTTTTCCCCCCTGAGCACCTCGTTCTTTTCATCCAGATTTTCAAATTTATTGGCTTAAAATTCTACGTAAGGAGAAGAAACACTAAGTCTTCCCCATATTTGCAGTATATCCCTTGTACTTACACCTTTATCTGGGCAGCAGCTGCTGGAGCCTTCCAAGATCTAGAGATTTTGGTTTAGCTGTTTTCAGCCCTCATGCCCCAGTTCTTAGTGCCCTTCATCTTGGAGTTAGTCATACATTCACCTTCTCTTTTGTTTGTGGGGGATTGCAGGCTCCTTGGCTCTCTTTCCTATCACGCTGATCCCATTTGCTCTTTAGCTTACAAAAATTTGTGCTGTTGAGGTCTGCTGATGGATACATGCCCTTTTTGGTTTCCAACATTACTATGGACTTATTTTTGGATTTCTTTTGTCATTTGGAGAGATTTTGGGAGGGATGAGAGGCAAATACATATTTTTAGTTAGCCTTTTGAAATAGGAAGTCACAATTCCTTCCTGTGTGGTTTTCTTTTATCAGGTCGTTTGTTCAATTGCTGGTTGCACAGTAGTTAGATAGTAACTTTACAGCCCAAGTAGTGATAGCCAGATAGACTTCACTTTTCTTTTTTTTTTTAATGAAACCAGATGACTCAGCAGAATGTACTTGTTGAATAGAAATGTTGACACATTGTCAATAAATATTCCAATAGTACTTTTTAAAGTTAAGTGACATAGTCGTAACATTTAGAATTATAAGGGACTTTACAGATCATTAGACCAACTGCCTTATTTTATGCATGAAATATTTGAGACCCAGAGACTTTCAGTGATTTATCTAAGGTGACAAAGTCGGTGATCAAGCAAGACAGAAAGCCCAAGTTTCTTTACTTCAGTTCTACTATGCTTTGCTATTTTACACATTCTTGGTTGTTCTACTTAGCTTTGTAATGAAAGAGGTATTTTCAGCTAATATATATTTTTTAAACCTACAGATGGTACGTATGGCTTGGAATTGCTTCTGAAAATTTGGTCTTAGATATCATATTAAATATGTTGGTGTGGATTTTGGTTTTTCTCACACAGATAATATGTATTATGATATAAATGTGAATTTTATTTTATTTTATTTATTTTTAAAAGATTTTATTTATTTATTTTACAGAGAGAGAGA